GAGACATTACTTCTGTTGTCCAAGGCCGTTCACTATACAAACATCCTTGAGAAGATAGTCTGGAAAAGGCAGTCAGTTCCCCACTTGCAAAATGTTTAGAACACAAGAGATTCATGGAAAATTGTCTCCCAACAATATACAGCCCTCATTTCTATACTGTCTTAGCTTTTGGCAGAATTTCCCATGAGTACACCACTCTGTTGGCAAATCTGATGAATCTGGCCAACAGAGGCTGGAACTAAACCTGTCCAATTTTTCACACACAGCAGTTAATGAGGACTACTATTAATAGGGCTGAGCAAATAATCTGAGTCTCTGGACTATATGAAGAAGAATGGGACATCAGAATTGGAGGAAGACTCATTAACAACCTGAGATATGCAGATGACACAACCTTCCTTGCTGAAGGTGAAGAGGACTTGAAGCACTTACTGATGAAGATCAAAGACCCCAGCTTTCAGTATGGATTACACTTCAACATAAAGAAAACAAAAATCCTCACCACTGGACCAGTAAGCAACGTTATGATAAATGGAGAAAAGATTGAAGTTGTCAAGGATTTCATTTTACTTGGATCCACAATCAACGCCCACGGAAGCAGCAGTTAAGAAATCAAAAGATGCATTGCGTTGGGCAAACCTGCTGCAAAAGACCTCTGTAAAGTGCTGAAAAGCAAAGATGTCACCCTGAAGACTAAGGTGCACCTGACCCAAGCCATGGTGTTTTCAATAAACGTCATATGCATGCGAAAGCTGGACGATAAATAAGGAAGACCGAAGAAGAATTGATGCCTTTGAACTGTGGTGTTGGTGAATAATATTGACTATACCATGGACTGCCAAAAGAACAAACAGATCTGTCCTAGAAGAAGTACAACCAGAATGCTCCTTCAAAGCAAGGATGGCAAGACTACGTCTCACATACTTTGGACATGTTATCAGGAGGGATCAGTCCCTGTAGAAGGACATCATGCTTGGTAAAGTAGTGGGTCAGCGAAAAAGAAGGAGACCCTCAACGAGATGGGCTGACACAGTGCTGCAACAATGGGCTCAAGCATAACAACGATTGTGAGCACGGTGCAGGACTGGGCAGTGTTTTGTTCCGTAGTACATAGGGTCGCTATGAGTCGGAACTGACTCGGCGGCATCTAACAACAACTATTAACAGGACTTCAAGCGGGAGGATGAAGCCAATGTGCAATATTGACCTCAACCATTCCCCACAGGGTCCCAGCTGAACAAATCCCATAAGGCTTCAGATCTACCTTAGAAAGTCAGGTGGCTTTCCACTTGGCCTGAAGCATTAATCCAGGTACAGCAGAATGTATTAACAATTGCACAGACTCTGTCTTGGCCTGCAAGGAAGAAGTTCAGGGAAATTCTATCACCAGTAACAACTTTGGTGAGTGAATTGAGGGTGACCTAAATGCCTTTCAGAAACTCTGGTGGCATAGTTGATAGGAGCTATGGCTGCTAACCAAAAGGTCAGCAGTTCAAATCCAACAGGTGCTCCTCAGAAACTCTATGGGGCAGTTCTACTCTGTCCTATAGGGTTGCTATGAGTCGGAATCCACTCAACAGCAACAGGTTTGGGTATTTTTTTTTTTTTTTAAAATGTCTTTCAAGCCAAGGTACTGTCATTGATCACTTTCACTAAAGTCAGGGGCAAAATTCAAGTCACTGTGTTTTCAGGACAGAGGCAAGTTCATGCATGACCTTCACACAGGTAACAGTCTCACATGGTGCTCCTGGGGAGGAACATGGTGCCCACCAGTGGGACATATATCAGTTAGAGGGCACAAGTGGACTGTGCCTGCAATGTGATCTCCCTGATGGTTGGTAGGCCTTCAGGTTCAGAGTCCAATTTGAATCACTAAGTCTAGTCTTTGCTTTTGGAGGGACTTACTGAGGGCAGTTAATCAACCTATCTCAGTTTTCCATGCCACAAACCAGATGGAAGATCCAGTAGTGAGTTAAATTTAAGGCACTTGGCAACAGTTGGGGAGAGTTGAACCAGGGCATTTTCCTTAGTTAGGAAGGCTCCAAGCATAGTTCTGAAAGACAAAGATCATTAATGTCTCTCCTTCCCCCATATCTCCCAGGGTCTGAGGTGTTCCCTCCCCAGGTGCTGCAGTGGTTGTTGTCCCTCCACTACCACAAAATTTACGTGTCCCATTTCAGGAGCTGTGAGTTCACCTTTTTTACCCCCCCCCCCAAAATTCCCCTTCTTAAGCCCAGACCGTTCATCTGGAAGGGTCAGGTACAAGAGGTACAAGAGCATTTTTATAGAACTTACAGATACTCATTATGTGTCCCGCTCTACCTGTGGGCCACCGTGGGGGGACTCGGAGAGAGGTGTACCCAACCAAGCGCTCCAGTTATCCTCATAATCTAGGACCACATCAATCCAACACCAGAATCCAGGTAGCTGGACTACAATCACATTTAAATCCTGTAGGCTTCCTTTTGGCTGGGATGCCACCCAGACGGCGCACCAAGGAGGCCTGACTGGGGTTGCTGTTAGGGGAAAGAAAGAAGCATCATGCCCAGGAATGGTCGACGTGGAACTCTGAATTTTCAAAATTGGTCTATATAAGCCCTCAAGCCAGGGACAGTGCTGCCTAAGAGCCTGCTGGGTAGATGGAGAGAGTGAAGAGGTACACAGGGCTCTCCAGGTAAGCAGAAGGCAGCAAGGATCAGAAAACCGCAGTTCCAGAGGGTCTACAAAGGAGAGAGATGGGGTCAGGAAAAGGTCACTTCGAGTAAGATTGAGAAAGCATCTACTGTTCAAAGAAGGAGGTTGGTTAATGAGAGTATGGGGGTCTAACTCCTAGCTCCTTCCCTACTGCCCTGGTGGACAGGCTGAACATCTGGAGATGCCTGCCTGTCCTGTCTGGCTTTTTCAAACCTAATAAGGCATTGGATGCGTATGGAAAAGGAAAACAGAAAATGGAAGAAAATCACCAAGCCCAATGATCAGGAAGCGCCGGGTAATTTTAATTTGCAACCCACCCAAGGAGAACCTAAGGGTCTCAGGCATATACAATAAGCTCCACCCCCGGCCCCCAGCTTGCATCACTCAGTTGCAGCTGGAACCCAGAACTTCCATGCCCAGTAAGCGCTTTTCAGTTCTTAGGCTTTTTGAGGGCTTAAACCCGCAAATGGCTAAGAGGCAAGACTTGTGCATCAGTCCCAGGCCTCCAGGAAGGTGGAGGGTGGGGCGGGGAAGCCGACAAGAACACTTAAGGGGAGAGGCCTTGAAAGAGGCCTAGGAGGACAGAAAGCGAGAATGATCCCTGCCTTGCCGGGATAAAGTAAGAAGCACTGAGGCTTGAGAGGCTCCACTCGCGCGGAAGCCGCCGTTCGTTATTATTATGGTTGTTGTTGTGATGACGTCACTGCCCCGCCTGCTCCCGGCCCGACCTATCCCCAAAGGGAAACTCCAGAGGAGACGGAGGCCAGCAACGTTTTCTCAAGCCAAGTACTTCCCTCCATCCGCGGCGGGCAAGGAGGGCAACCCTGCAAGGCCACTTCCGGGTCCTGAGGCCTGAGCGGAGTTACCATAGAGACGCCTCTTCTGAGGCCCAGCGTGTCGAAAGTCTCCGCCCACTGGGATCCAGCTCTGGGGCGCTCCAACTGGGCCGGATCCAGCCTGCGGGCAGACCCGCCCCACTCTGGGCAACTCGAGGTCTAAGGACCACCCGGAAACGTCATTTCCGCCCTCATCTCCGGCCCAACTTGGAGAGGGCGGAGCCTCAGCGAAGACGCTCTGGTTGTGCGTCACTTCCAATGAGCCGGGCGGAGACAACGGCAGCATGGCCCTGAACGGCGCTGGTGAGGACATGGCCTGCGGGGGCCTGTGGCTGCGGGGTACGGGAAGCAGCTCGCTCCGGCAAGACCCCCCGGCCCCTTGTGCCTCTCTTCCACCAGAAGTTGATGATTTCTCCTGGGAGCCTCCGACTGAGGCAGAGACGAAGGTCCTGCAGGCGAGACGAGAACGGCAGGATCGCATCTCCCGACTCATGGGCGACTACCTGCTGCGCGGTTACCGCATGCTAGGCGAGACGTGCTCAGACTGCGGGGTGAGGCGAGGGCCGGGGATGGAGCCGCGGGCCAGGCCGCACTGCCCTTCCACAATTCTCCCCTCTGGACTCCATCGCCCATCTTCTCACCCCCGCCCTGTGTGCTTTCTGGCCCCTAGACGATCCTCCTCCAAGACAAACAGCGGAAAATCTACTGCGTGGCTTGTCAGGAGCTCGACTCAGACGTGGATAAAGATAATCCGGGTGAGGGGCCAGGTGTGCTTGGTGGAGAAGCGTGGTGATGGAGGCCTGGGAGTGACAGAGGAGTCTGTGGGTAGGGCCGGGGTAAGGCGCTTTCTCCTGTCAGTTCTAGAGCGGTCCATTCATTCAGTAGGAGCACTAAGCACCTCCTGCGTGCCAGACACTGTGGGAGAGTCAGCTCAATCAGGCACAGTCCTGATCGGGACAGGAAGCCAGGGCGTACGTAACTGTGCTACAAAATAGAGAGCGAATGAGTTGCCTTATAGAGAAGCAGAGAAAACACCTCAAGGACAGAAAGGATGTGGCTCAGGGCTGAAGTGGGCCAGCCCTCCTGACCATTCCACCCACTTTCTTCTCTTTTAGCTCTGAATGCCCAGGCTGCCCTCTCCCAAGCTCGTGAGCACCAGCTGGCTTCTGCCTCAGAGCCCCCCTCGGGTTCCCGGCCTACCCCTCAGCCCTCAGTACCCCGTCTGGAGCACTGTGAGGGAGCCGCAGCAGGGCTCAAAGCAGCCCAGGGGCCGCCCCCTGCTGCAGTGCCACCAAATGCAGATGTCTTGGTCTGCACACAGACGGCGCTCCTGCAGAAGCTGACCTGGGCCTCAGCTGAGCTGAGCTCTAGCAGCTCCCTGGAGACTAGCATCCAGCTGTGTAGCCTTATCCGGGCTTGTGCTGAGGCCCTGCAAAGCCTGCGGCAGCTGCAACACTAAGAGAAGCTCCTGAGAAAAACCCACTAGAAAAACAGCTGTTCATCTGTGTGGTTTGTTCTTTTCTTGGTTCTGAGTGTGCATGCTTGCCTCCACTTGCCTTTTTCCTACTTTTGGCTTCATACCCTTCCACTGTCCGCTTTCCGTGATCCCCTGAGAGATGGTTGGCTTGTTTCTGCTCTGATTCTCCAGTGAGAGGATGAGGGGAGAGGGAGGGGGCTGTGTGATACCCTTTTTCTGAGGAGGGGGCCACAACCTAAGTGTCCTCAAAGGGCAAGATGGATAGACCACCAGCCTTGATTTTGGCAGCAGCCCTACGCCCACAGCCTCCTCAGACTTCCAGTATTCATTCCCCACACATGAGCGAGATTTTTGGTTCCAGCCCCCGTGGTAGCTCCCCCTTTTCCCTGAGTGTCCTGATTCCATCATTCTGACCCACCTCACGCCCACCCCAAGTGTTCAGACACTGGAAGTAGGTTGTGGTGGCCCCAGCGTCAGGTTGCATGTTAGAGGCTGAGCGTAGATTTGCCCCATTCTCCAGACCCCCACTACTAGATCTAATTGTGGGGAGGGGACAGATTCTATGCCAGGTCTCTGATTTCCTTGGGATAGAAATTGGGCGGAATAATTGAAAACAGTGTGTGGGGAGGAGCAAGAAGAATCAAAAGGAACCGTGCTCTCGCCTTTTGGCTTCTTGCCTCCCCTTTGCGGGATCCGCTTCTTTGCGTGGGTGCCTCCCTTACGGGATCTCACCTTTGCGCGATGTGGTCCCACAGTCATTGCCCTTTTAAAAAGGGCCCCGCCCCTCAGGAGGGGGCGGGGCAGGGGCGGAGTCGGAGGAGCAGTGGAAGGAACAAAGCGCGGCCTGCGGGCGGCGGTGGGGCTCGCGCGGTGCGGGGCCTGCGGGCGGCGGTCCGGGTGTGGCGGCGGCGGGAAGGAGGCGGCATCGCTGTCCGCGCTGGCCTGGCCATGAACGGGCTGCCCTCGGCTGAGGCACCAGGCGGCGCGGGCTGCTCCCTGGCCGGGCTCCCGCCTCTGCCGCGCGGCCTCAGCGGCCTTCTCAACGCGAGCGGGGGCTCGTGGCGGGAGCTGGAGCGCGTCTACAGCCAGCGCAGCCGCATCCATGACGAGCTGAGCCGCGCAGCCCGCGCTCCGGACGGGCCCCGCCACCCCTCCGGAGCTGCCAACGCGGGCCCCGCCGCCGGCCGCGCTGCCCCACGCCGACCAGTCAACCTTGACTCTGCGTTAGCGGCCCTGCGCAAGGAGATGGTGAGTGGGTGGGCGCTGGACCGGCCGGGCAGGGGCTGCTGCGGAGCAGTAGGGGCGTAGGGCAGGAGCATGCAAACGGGAACCGGCGGCCTCGGTCTCAGAGGACCTGCAGACGCCGACCAAGTCAGCATATGGTAACAATAATTGGTAATAGTTAACCGTTTATGGCAGTAGTTACCATATAGCTATAGCTGCCTTACTCGTGGTGCCTCATTTCGTCCTGCTAGGTGTTGGTCCCATTTTTCCTAAAAGTTTCACAGCTTGCAAGTGGGGTCTGATGGCCGCGAAAACTTGTGCTTAGAAATGTACAGGAAGACTGGCTAGGGCCCCAACCTAGACTGGGGGCTCTGGATTCCAGGAGGTTGGTGCTCGGGGTGGCGTGGACCCCAACCCCAGCCCACCCTCAGTTGTCTGCAGGTGGGGCTGCGACAACTGGACATGTCCCTGCTGTGCCAGCTGTGGGGCCTGTATGAGTCAATCCAGGACTACAAGCACCTATGCCAAGACCTGAGCCTGTGCCAGGACCTGTCGTCGTCCCTGCACTCGGACAGCTCCTACCCACCGGACGCCGGCCTCTCAGATGATGATGAGCCTCCTGATGCCAGCCTGCCCCCTGACCCACCACCCCTCACTGTGCCCCAGACTCACAATGCCCGTGACCAGTGGCTGCAGGATGCCTTCCACATCAGCCTCTGAAGGGGTGGGGGGGTGGGCATGTGCCCATGCAAAAGGCTCCGAAACTCACCCCTTGGCACGTATTCTGACTGCAGTGCCATACCACCTCATCTGACTGGAGGGCAAGGCTTGCGCCTCTAAGAGCCAAAACTGTCATGCTCTTTCACCTGCCTTGGGTTAGCTGGCACTGGGGCAGGCACCTGGAGGATCTCCACTTCTCACATATGTGCACACCCCCAGTTTGCCCAACCCGCAGTCTGGTGGCAGGACCCAAAGTATCTTGTCCTCCCTTTGGCATCTCAGATTGGGGTGAGTGTCTGGCTCCCACCTCCTTTTCACCTTTCGCTGCTACTGGCAGCTGCTGGCTCAGGGGTATCCCACCTCTGTTCTCTGGGTTCCATTGCCCTGGACAAGGACTCCAGGACCTATCCCTGTACCCACTCACGGCCGGGACGCCAAGGCTCTATGCTGGATTTTTAAGTTTAGGGGCCAACTTCCTGGCACGTAGATAAATAAATATTCTTAGCGTTGTTACGTTCTGACTGCCTGACTCTGGGGCGAGAATACAGCGATGTTTCTGGGAGGTGCGGCCCCATGTTCTGCCGGCAGGTGGCGCCCGAGACCCACGAGTGGAAGAAAGGCTTGGCGGGGCAGGGGTGCGAATCCGTCCTCCCGGGGCGGGGGCGGGGATCGTTCGAGCCGGCAGAGCTTGACTCGGCCACCCGACGCTGTGTGACTGTGAACAAGTAATTTCCCCTCTCGGGCCAGCGGTCTCGGAGCCCAAACTCCCCCCCCTTCCTCCCTCGCTTTGGGCTTTCCCTGCCGGCCTGGAAGGAAGGGGAAGGAGCTGCCCATCCTGAAGAGAGAAACTTTCCACCCGAGTGGGGCGGAGTTGAGGCGGCACAGGAAATGGGTGGGCCGCAGCCGGCGGCCAGGGGGCCCCTTGGCGAGAGACGGGAAGGCGCTGCCAGGAAGGGCCGGGGAGGAAAACGCTGCAGACGCCAAAGGAATGAAGTCGCTGGACCCCGGGCCTCCCTAGGACCCGGGGCTTCTGAGCGTGAAGCTCATAGTGGCAGTGTGTGTGGGGGTGGAGTGGGGGAAGAAGGTGGTGATTGGGATCCCAGACACCCCCATTCCACACTCAGTGTCATGGAGAGCGCCCCGCCCCTCCCACAGCATCAGAGCCCTTTAGGGCTGCATGTGGAAGGCTTCCTTTTACAGAGAGGAAACCGAAGGCCACATCGCTGGGACTGGGATCCAAGCCTCCTGTGTCAGGCCCAACCGGAAGAAGCCTGCATATTTGGGGACAGTGGGTGCTCAGACCCCCAAGTACACTACACCCCCACGACGTCCTGAGACGGAGCGATGAGGACAGGCCGGCGAAGTTGCACACTCACCCCCCCCTTCCCCGCCGGCAGCTCATCCCCACATCCTGCTGCGGTGCATTGCTCCTGGAGGTGCTACCCAGCTCGCGCTCCCGGCAGATCAGACGTCCTGTTCAAACCGAGTCCTGATCAAGCACCAGGCGTCGGTCCCTGCGCAAAGCCTGGAGAGCGCCAGGGGAGGGGACACGCAGACGTGCTGCCACGGGTACTTCTCTAACTCTGAGCCTGACACCTGCAGCGCTCATTACCATGCAAGGCGGTGATAAGGGCTCTAATCTAGGTGTGAACGGAGGGCGGCTAACGGCCAGAGGGAGGCTTCCCAGGGGAGAGAGAGTAAATAAACACACATGCGTACACACTTTCCTGTCCTTGGTAACGGATTCCATTTATTGAGCCCTTGCAAAATCAGTCAGGTTCCGTGCTAAATGCTTTCTGAGGTTGATCCGTTCATCCTCTCAACGACTCTTCGAAAGGCGAACTATAATTATGCTCATTTAACAGATGTCGACACTGAAGCTTAGAGCGTTAGTGATTCACCTAAACTCACATACTTGGTTGGAGGCCAGGCTTTGAACCTCTAGCTGCTTGTGGCAGGTTGGAACCTTCCCACTTGACAGCCAAGGAAACAGGCTCTGAGAGGCTGGGGGATGGGTGCTGTCCACAGGTAGGGCCCCGGAGGTCCCTGATCTCTGTTCCTTCCTGCTCTGGCTAAGACGTGGGGTGACGCCAGAATCGTGACCCCAGGACAGTTGGCTCTGGCGCAGAGTGTCTTTGTGACCCTGGGCAAGTCCCTTCCCCTTTTTGGGTCTCTGTTCCCCCAAGCCTTGAAATGGGGCCGCCAGTATGTACCTCCCCCTGGAGCGGCAGGAAGGGAGGCGGCCGGTCGGCCAGCGCTCCGAGGGCGGCACCAAGTCACGGTTGCCTCTACCGGGCCCGCGCGCCCCTGCTCGCCAGCGCGTCCTCACAGCCTGCCCCTCCCGTCGGGGCGCTGGGCCCAGGAAGCCGCGGCAACCCGCCCCCGCCTGCTAGCCCCCGCCCCGCTGGAGCCCCGCCCGCCTTCAGTCGGGGGTGCGGCTCCAGGAAACGGCGCGCTCGCGGCTTTACACTCTCGAGACCTGACGAGCCCTGCACGACCCCACCGACTTGGCAGACCCCTCGGCGGCGCCAGCGACGGCGGAGAGAGCGCGGCCTCGGGTCCGAGCCTCGGACAACTCCGCACGGACAGGGACCATGGGGACCCAGGCCGGGCCAGCGGTCGCGGGCCAGCAGGAGCCCCGGGCCTGAGGAGCGGGCGGCGGGGACCATGACCTCGGTGTGGAAGCGCCTGCAACGCGTGGGCAAGAGGGCTGCCAAGTTCCAGTTTGTGGCCTGTTACCACGAGCTGGTGGTGGAGTGCACCAAAAAATGGTGAGTAATCTGGGGGACGCCCCGGGACCGTCCGGGACCCCATCCCGCCTGTTTAGCTGAGACAACCCTGCCCCCAGCCAATGGCCAGAGGGGCCCCCATCCCAGCTTGGGCCCTGGTGTCCCAGATGCCAAGATTTAAAATGCGCTACAACTTGAGGGACCTCCTAGAATTGGGGGGTGTGGGCATCTTTGGGGGAGTGAGGCTCAGGACTCCAGGCCTGAGAATTCCGTCTGGGCCATACTTTTCCTCAGCTACGTTTAGGGCTGGGGGCAGGGAGCTCGCATGTCCCCAGCCAGCCAGATGGCTCAGGGGGCATCAGAAGAGGGAGCAGGTCTGCAGGTGGCGGGGCTGGGACAGGAACCTCCATGGACCTTAGTCCACCTCAGAACAAGCATGTCACCCCCTCCTTTCCTGCTTACTTGTTGAGCCAGAGGGCCCCCCTTTCAGCCAGGAGGGCACTGGGAGGCTGGAAACCGCTTCAAAATGTCCTTAAAAGGGGAAACTGAGTGCGGGAGGCATGAAGAGGGAGGCGGGAGCCAGCTTAAAGGGGCCGAGGGCCTAGGAGGTTGTGGAGGATGGTGGGGTGGGGGGCAGATATGTGAAGGGGTACAGGCCTGGCCCAGACTGCGAAGGGCCCGTTCACATGCCCCCACCGCAGCTGCCCGCCCCTGCGTCACACCCTAAATATACGCGCTCCCTGGTGTCAGCTTCCCTTGGCGGGATTAGGGCACAGCTGTGGAGGCCTCACTCCTCCACCAGACGGGGCTAAATTTAGGCTCCCGAGGGGAAGGGCCAGGACAGGAAGAGACCAGCGGGGCCAAGGGGAGGGAGGTGAGAAGGAGACCCGGGTCCCTTGGGCAGCTGCCACATCCCTGATCTACACGTGGAGCCTGCCAGGGGCTGGTCACTCTTTGCAAGAGACCCAGAGAGGCCAGAGGCTGACTGGGGTCACAGCACAGGGCTGAGACTCGAACCGTGACCTCTGGCTTCTGCCCCAGCATCCTGGGTGAGCCAGGGGGATTCTGGGCATGGTCCTGGAGAGCAGGCTGAAGCTGCAGGCAGTGTCAACGTGGCTGAGTCACTGCTGACAGGCAGGGCCTCCTGGGCTTCTTAGCCGGGAGCCCAGGCCAGGAAGCTGCCCCTGCCCAGGTTGAAGCTCCCCCAGGGTGTGCCCAGCCTGAGTCAGGCTGCCTGGCCAGGCCCCACCCTCCTCAGGCACCCCCTGATCGCTTCCCCTTTTTGGGAAGGCCCCATGGCTACCGTTGCTGGGCCAACATCTACAGTTTGGGGTTGGAGAGGGGAGCCTGGCTGCAGGCCGGAGGGCTCCAGGCTGGGCTCTGTGACTTTACCTGGCCCCCGTCCTCTCTGGGCTTCAGTATCGTCAGGGGGCTCAGCCTCCAGGGGCAATGAGCGGGCAACCCCAGCATCCTGGCCTGGGGCTCTACAGGCGAGGAGGGTGCCTGTGCTGCCTCGGCCTGATCATTCCCTCCTTCCTGGGCAGCGGTTGGACCCTGTCACCTAAAGGAGCCCGCTGCACTCCTTCAGGCCATGTGTCAGCTCCGTGTCTGGTCCTGAGCCCTGTGCAGCCAGCTCCTTTCTCTCCCTTTGTCTCTGTCTCCCTGTATCTCTGCTCTCCTCTGAGCCTGTCCTGGCATACGCTGTTCAGCTTAGCTGTCACCTCTTGGAAGCCTTCCCTGATCCCACCGTGGGAGTCAGTAGCCCCCAGGCTCCATCGTTATCATCTCCCAGCAAAGCAACAGTATGGGGCTCCGGGTTCTAGAGGCTGGGATTGGGGAGCCGTCCAATGACAGGCTGACCTGCCATCTCTGGGACCTCACCCGTCTGCCCCTTTCTCCACTCCCCTTACTTCCCCCTCTTGCTCCACCCCCTGCCCTTTGCTCCTCCCACCCCACCCCTTGCCCCTCCCCCCGCCCCTTGCACTAGCATTCCTTCGTCCTGGATTCCTCTTCTCCAGATCCTCCAGGCCCGTCCCTCTCTCACTCATGTCTCTGGTCCCAGAGGCCCAGGTCACAAGCTGCACCCAGCTTCAAGGAGACCCCAGCAGCTCTCTCACTGACACCCTGCTTTGTGAGCTCCACAGTGCTTGCTACTCCACAGAGAAGCTAACTTGCTAACTAATGCTCCTTCCTGACCGGCATCCTTCCGCCCAACCCCGCCAGTGCCCGCAGCCCCAGGATGGGAGCCCCCCCCCCACACCCCACAGACAGGGTCCTGCCTCCCTCCTGCGCTGCTCTGTCCCCAAACCTAGGCTGGGTTGACAGGGGGCACTCCACAAATGTGACTGACGGCCGTCTTTCTCTGAGTCTCTCACTATGTCTGTGTGTATGTGTGTCTGTCTGTCTCTTGCTAGGTCCTTGCTGTGTTTCTGTCTGTCCATGTGTCTCTGTCTCTTGCTCTTTCCTGTTAATTCCTGCTGGCCTATGCTGTTGGGGCCTTTGCCCTTCTGTCCCAGCCCCGCCCCGACTCAGCAGCCCCACCCTACACCCTGTGGCCCTAGATAAGGGGCTGCCTAAGTAGTCCCCTGGGGGAGGGGCACTGGGCGGAAAGAAGACCCCAAGGGAGCTGGGGGAGGGGGGAGGAGCAGGGAGGCTGGGGGTCCTGACTGAGCGCCCCCTCCGTACCCACCCTCAGGCAGCCGGATAAGCTAGTGGTCGTGTGGACCCGGCGGAACCGCCGCATCTGCTCCAAGGTGGGAGATGTCAACTAGGGTCTGGGCTGGGGGTGGGGTCAGCAGGGAGGGGTGACAGGGAAGGCGGGTGGGGGCTGCTGGAGGAGTGGGCCAGGTTTGGCTCAGATCAGAATCCAAGGAGGGGAGAGGAAGATGGGGTCAGGGTTGGGGATAAGGGCATGGGGCGGGGCACGTGCGGGGGTGGGGTGGGTGCTCATCTTGCCCATTGTAGGCCCACAGCTGGCAGCCGGGCATCCAGAACCCGTACCGGGGCACCGTGGTGTGGATGGTGCCTGAGAACGTAGACACTGCCGTGACCCTCTACAGGGTGAGCCCCCGCCTCCAGCGCAGACAGGGATGGGCGGGATTTGCCATCCTACCAGCCACTGGGTCCCCTGGCGGGGTAGCCACCCAAATAGGAAGAACAGAGCGATGAGACCAAGAGTCACCGTGGGGGCGGGGGAACTACTCAGTGTCTCCTTAGAGGAGGTGGCGTTTAACCCCACCTGCAGCAGGAGAGAAAGCTGGGGTCAGGAGGGGCTGGGAGCACCCCAGGAGGCAGGAACAACATGGGTGCAGGCCCAGCCAAGCCCCACTGAACCAGGGCAGGTCTTTTCTCTGCACTGCCCCCACCACAGAGCCCCTGCTCACCAGTGTCCCCCTTACCCAGGACCCCCATGTGGACCAGTACGAGGCCAAAGAGTGGACGTTTATAATTGAGAATGTGAGTGGCCTGGTGGGCCGTGGTGGGTGGGGATCTCTGGTGTCGGGCCCTCTGGGGTAGCCCTGATGCTCCTCCGCCCGACCCTTCCACCTGGCCTGCAGGAGTCCAAGGGGCAGCGGAAGGTGCTGGCCACAGCCGATGTGGACCTGGCCCGCCACGCAGGGCCTGTGCCCACCCAAGTTCCCCTGCGGCTGCGGTTGAAGCCCAAGTCAGTGAAGGTGGTGCACGCCGAGCTGAGCCTCACCCTCTCGGGGGTGCTGCTGCGGGAGGGCCGTGCCACGTGAGTGCCCGCCTGCCCGCCCTTGGCCCAGGCCCACGATCTCTGACCCCCCAACCCTCACTCCTGACCTCTGACCCTCAGGGATGATGACATGCAGAGTCTGGCGAGCCTCATGAGTGTGAAGCCTAGTGACGTGGGCAACTTGGATGACTTTGCTGAGAGTGATGAGGAGGCTAATGGCCCAGGGGCCCCTGAGGTCCGGGCCCGGGTCCCCCAGTCGGGTGAGCACGGGGCCTGCCGTGGACTGGATCACCAGTACCTCGGGAGAGTGGGGTTGGCCAGGGCCACGTGCCACATGCTGTGCTGGGCGGGGCCAGCGTGAACACACCCTGTGATGGGTGCACATCACTACCTTGGCAGTCTCAGCCTGCCGAGCAGCCTGATTGTCCAAACTTGGCTGCTTGTCCTGTGGCGGCCTGGGTCCTTAGCAGAGTCCTTCAAGATGAAGTCCCAAGGACTCCCCAGACCCCTGGCTCTCCCATACCCCTAGGTGGGTGCCTGGTCGGGCCCACACCTGACCTGAAACAGCTGGATCCAAATCCAGAGAAGGGGCTACAGTCCACGCCCCTGGCCCTCACCTCCACCATTACCACCTGCCCTTCACCTCCATCCTCACCTCTGCCCTCACCCTCACCCTCATCACCTGCCCCTCACCTCCACCCTCACCACTTCCCCCTCACTCCCACTCTTGCCATCTGCTCCTGACCTCTGCCCTCACCTCCACCCTTACCTTCACCTTTCCCTCCACTCTCACAACCTACCCCTCACCACCTGCGCCTTACCGCAACCCTCACCAACCGCACCTCACCTCCGCCCTCACCTCCGCCCTCACCTCCGCCCTCACCTCCGCCCTCACCTCTGCCCTCACCTCCTCCCCCTCACCTCCACCCTCACCATCTACCCTCAGTGAGTCGGTGGCTGGCTTCTTCATCTTTCCCTTTGTGTTAAGGCTTTTCCTCTCTGTGCCATGTGGTTCTTTTTCTCTCCTTTTTCTTGGCGTCTGTGGGTCTGTCTCTTCTCACAGGCCAGGTCGGTGGTGCCCTGAGGTCAGGGCGTTTCCCAGGTAGGCCCAGCACTCTTGTCGGGGAGGGGTCAGACCGGCAGGGCCCTGCCCTGGGCTGACTCTGCCCTCTCGCCCCCATCCCAGATCCCTCTCGGGAGCTGAAGACACTTTGTGAGGAAGAAGAGGAGGGCCGAGTCCAGCCCCAGCAGCCAGGTTAGGCCTAGGCTGGGGGTGGTCGGGGGCTGGGCCTTGGTCACAGGACCCAGGCCTCAGCACTCCCTCCCTTCTTTCCTCCCCAGCTGCCAGCTCCTCTAATGCTAAGGATGCCAACCCAGCCCCTGTGAGTGTCCCTGCGCCCCCAGCCAGGGCCTCCAGGGAGAAGGGGTCAGAGGCACCTGTGGCAGGGGGCCAGGTGGGGCCTGAAGCCCCCAGGCCCCCGGAAACCCCAATGGAGACAAGGTAAGCATGAGAACCAGCCCCACCCTGCCCACCTGCCTCTCCAGGGCGGGCAGTCTGAAGAGTGGGAGGTGAGGCTGACAGCGAGGGCTTAGTGAGCACCCCAACACCCTGTCCTGCTCTCTCCTTAGGTCCTCAAGGCAGCCAGGCCAGGACGTGGCCCCCACCCCAGCCCCGCGGTTCCGGAAAAGCCTCGAAGCCCCCCAGCCCCCAGTCCCCCAGGGGAAGGATGAGGCCCCTGAAGCCTCACAAGCTTCCCTAGCAGGAGTGGGTTCCTCTGGGGAGATGCAGGCGCGGGCAAGGCCTCAGGAAGGGCCAGAGGGCCATGGAGTCAGGCTGGGCCTAGGCATTGAGGATGGAGGCTCCAGAGACCCTGTGGGAGAACAGAGCCCCAAGGCTGAGGAGGAGGGCACTGGGGACAGGCCAAAGGCCAGGGGGGTGGAGACGGAGCATAGGGCAGGAGCTGGAGAGGCGCACACGAGGACGCTGGTGGTTGGAGCCAGGGAGGCCGCAGCGAGCTCAGACGTTGGTCACATTGATGCCGAACAGAGGTCCCAGATGAGGCCTATGGACACTAAGGAACCAGAGGCCACCAGAGCAAAGGCTGAAACAAGACTCAGGGGGCCTCCTGAGGCTCCTCCAAGGGGCTCTCAGGGGAGGCTGGGGGTCAGGACCAGGGATGAGGTACCTACAGGCCTGAGCCCACCCCCAGCAGAACCTGTAGGGCACTCAGGGCATCTTGGTGACCTCCAGAGGGCCAGGGCTGTGGCAGGCCAGGAGAGAGAGGGCACAGAGGGGAGGGATGGAGCCCCTGGTGTTGGGGGGCCAGGCCTGGAGCAGGGCTTCTCTGCTGGAGCAGCCAGTGCCAGGCCCCAGGTGAGCAGGAGCCAAGGGTCCCCACCAGCAGCTGACCAGGGGGTGGTATCTAGGGCTCTGGGGATCTTGGAGGCAGAAGCTGGGGATTCAAGGGTCCTGGGAACCGAGATTGGGGTGGCAGAGTCAGAAGTATTGGGGACCCAGGAGACAGTGGGAGCGAGATCAGGGGTCCTGGGGTTGGAGGCTGCTGGGATGGCAGAGTCAGAGGTATTGGGGATGCAGAAGACAAAAGTGGGAGTTTCAGGGGACCCAGGGGCAGAGGCTAGGATGGCAGAGTCTGAGATACTGGGGACCCAGGAGACATCTGGGGATTTAGGGATACTGAGAATAGAAGTTGAGTTAGTAGAGCCTGAGATATTGGGTGCCCAGGAGACGGAAGTGGGGGCTTTAAGGAAAGAGGTGACAGAAGCTGGGAGGACAGAGACTGAGATATTGGGGACCCAGGTGGTAGCAGATGAGGGTCCAGGGGTCCCAGGGATAGAAGCTGAGATAGCGGAGCCTGAGATATTGGGGGCCCAGGAGGTAGCAGATGAGGGTCCAGGGGTCCCAGGGATAGAAGCTGAGATAGCAGAGTCTGAGATATTGGGGACCCAGGAGGCAGAGGCTGGAGGTTCAGGGGTCTCAAGTATAGAGATTGGGACAGCAGAAGCTGAGATATTGGGGACCCAAGGGGTAGCAGATGAGGGTTCAGGGGTTCCGAGGGTAGAGGCTATAATGGTAGATGGTGAAGTACTGGGAACCCAAAAGACAAGAGTTTCAGAGGCTGCGAAACCAAAAGTTGAGATTTTGGGGGTCCAGGAGGCAGATACTGGGGTTTGGGGGAGTCTAGAAACCAAGCGTGGGGCTTCTGTGGCCTCAGTCACTAAACATGAAGTTTCAGGGGCCCAGGAAGCAGAGGCAGAGATGCCAGGGGCCCAGGAGGCAGAGACTGAAGTTTTGAGTGTCCAGGAGGCAGAGGCTAAGGTATTGGAGATCTCAGAAGCCAAATCTGAGGCTTTGGGGACCCAGGAAGCAGAGACAGAAGTTTTAGGGTCCCCAGAGAACGAATGTGGAATTTTCGAGGTCCAGGAAGCAGAGGCTCAGGTCTTGGGGCCCAAGAAGGGACAAGAAGCTCAGGGAGACTCCCCAGAGGCCAGTCTGGTTGAAGTGCAGGTGGCCAGTGGGGCAGGGGCTGGGGTGCCCAGGCCCTCGGGGGCCTCCTCCCCAGAGGAGCCTGAAGAGGACAGGAGGCTGCCGGGCAGCCAGGTAGGGATGGCGGCTGCCGAGGGCCCAGTCTCCTGCTTCCCACTAACTTGGGGCTGAGCGAACGGCGGCTGTGCATGGACCCACCTGGTTGACTGGGATGGGGTGGGATGCGGGGCTCAGCTTCAAGGAGCCCCCTCCTCCCCCGTCTCAGGATGCCCTGGCTCTCCCACCTGTCTTCCCTGGGCCGCATGGACCTGGATACCCCTATGCTGGTTTTCGGGCTGATCCTGAGGTGTGGCTGCTGATGACTTCTCATCTTGCCTGGGGGCCACTGACCTTTTAGGTGACCCCAGAGCTGGAAGCCCTTTTGCCAGGCCCCAGGGCTCTAGCCAGTGGGCTCGGATGTGCCCTGCAAACCCAGGGGCTGTTTTGTGCCAGGCCTGAGCTTCCCCGAGGGCAGAGGGCGCAGGTCCCAGGTACACATTCCCTGAGCCCACCTCTGTGTCCCCCAGGTGCCACCTGCCCTGATCAACTCTAGCCAGTCCCTGCTTGAGTGGTGCAAGGAAGTCACCGCTGGCTACCGTGGCGTCCGCATCACCAACTTTACCACGTCCTGGCGCAATGGGTTGGCCTTCTGCGCCATCCTGCACCGATTCCACCCGGACAAGATGTGAGCTGTTGGGGCGGGGGGTGGTGCTGGGAACGAAGCAGGGAGCCTGCAGAGTGGGCAGTGAGGGTCCAGCCAGCAAGGCTCCTGACCCTGACTGGGGTTTTTCTGCAGCGACTATGCCTCCCTCAACCCGCTCAACATCAAGGAGAACAACAAGCAGGTGAGGTGGGGGTGGGCTCAGAGATCTGGAGTCTCATTTGCCGGTGGGAGAGGAATCTGTGGGCTGCAGGACCCAGCATGCTTGTTGAAAGTTCTGCCACGTTTATCCTTTGGGTTATTGAATCGCTCATTTTCCTTAGATTTTTGTTTTGTTTTAAAGCCTATTTTGCCTAGACAGCTTTTCCAAAAGTACTCTTTGGTCACCAGGTGAACGTGTGCAGCGACTAGGGAAGCCGGTGGGGGTGGGGGGTGGAGGTCTGTTGCTAGTGATCCCCTAACCCGAGGGTGAAGGCATCGCTAGGCAAACCCAGGCGTGGGTGTCGGCGGGACCAGCTCAGCCAGGATGGGGTTGTGGCGCCACTGACCCCGCTTTCGCCGTTCCTAGGCCTTCGATGGCTTCGCGGCCCTGGGTGTGTCACGGCTGCTGGAACCCGCAGACATGATGCTGCTGTCGGTGCCCGACAAGCTCATCGTCATGACCTACCTGTGTCAGATCCGCGCTTTCTGCACAAACCAAGAGCTGCAGCTGGTGCAGCTGGAGGGCGGTGGCGCTGCGGGCACCTACCGCGTGGGCAGCGCCGTGCCCAGCCCGCCCGGCGACCTGGACGCTGGCGACCTGGCGCAGCGGTTGCGCGGGCACG